TAGCATTATATTGACAGGAATGTTGAGTAAAAAATATTACCCAATGTTAACCTTGTTTCTTAAGTACAACCATTGAGTTTTTTCTTTTTCTGATTTTCTTTCATAATTTATTTTAAGACTTTTTTTTTAGAGCAGTTTTAGGTTCACAGCAAAATTGAGGGGAACATACAGAGATTTTCCCTATACTCCCTGTGCCCATGTGTGTAGAGCCTCCCCCCATTAGCACCATCCCCGCCAGAGTGGAACATTTGTTACAACTGATGAAGCTGCATTGACACATCATAATCACCTGAAGTCCATAGTTTACATTGTGGTTCACTTGTACATTCTGTGGGTCTGAACAAATGTATAATGACATGTATTTATCCTTACAGCAAAATACAGAGTATTTTCACTGCCCTGAAATTGCTCTGTGCTCTGCCTATATATCCCTGTCCTCACCTCCTGGCAACCACTGATTTTTTTTTTTTACTGTTTCCATAGTAACCATTAAGTTTTTACTTTCAATTGTAATGTTTATATTTAGAAGTTTTATTTGGTTCTGTTAAAATATCTGCGTAGGCTTCAGAGTCTCATGTTTGTTCTTATAATCAAGGCTTTGTAATTTCTTGGTTCATGTTAAGCATTTGTTTTCTGTCATGTCTGAAATAGTTCTGATATTTAATATCTTACGAGTCTAATTCTGCTATCTGTGCTTCTGCTGGCTTTTATTCGTAGTGCTTTATTTTCCTGTTGTTTTTGTGTATGCATGTGATTTTTGATTGTAAACTCAAATCTCTTGGAATTCTTTATGGACTGGACTGAATTTGTCTTCTAGAGTGAATTTGTAATTCTGCTAGTTGTGGGGTGAAAGAGGGCGCTATCAACTCAGGATCTTTTTGAATTACATGTTCTGCTTGAGTTTTTTTCTTTTTTTAAGATCATGTAGGTTGTGTGAATTTGGGTCACAAACTTTCATGAGGGCGGCTTGTGGCTTGAATTTTTGGAAGATTTTTAACCTCCCCCTGGGGCCAACAATAAGTCAGGTAAGTTTCCTGGCTGTCTCCTTCTGTGGTACAGGGTTATTTCTTGTTCCCTCTTATGTTGAAGATGCAGCCCTTTTGGGATCCCAGTGTTTTGCTGGGGTCTCCTGTTGCCCTCTCTGTCTTTGGTAGGCCCTAAGTTTTGGTGCTGGTTTCCTGTACTCCATTCCATTCCGCTGTCAGGAGAGAGTCTCAAGGTCGCTAGTGTTGGCAGATCCCCTCAGTGTGAAATCTGCCTTTGGCATTTGCTTATCTCCCAAGGTTCCCCATCACTTCCTTTTTTGGTTTCTGCAGATTCCTCATTTTCTCACCAGCTCAGTAAATTATAATTTTTTAATTTTAAAATTCATCCATCTTTTGGTTGTTTTCATCAGGAGGGTCATAAATATCTAATTGCTTCTTCATGATGAATTCTGTAGTAGTGGATACTGAATCTAAAATAATCTTTTGTGTAAGTTCCAGAAATGGGGAGGGAACAGTCAGAAAAAAAGTTGTCTTCCTTCTGTGCGTGTCATGTGCTCAGACGAAACAAATGAGTGCTGATACCTGTGAAAGTTTGAGAGCAGAAATTCTTCTCTGAGCATGCCCCCAGTTCTTTCCTTTATCCCAGTGAAGAATCACTGATTTCATAAACCATTGTTAGTTGTAGCAGGATCATATTTCTCAAGTGTGGGGATGGAAAGTTGTTCACAGCCATTCCTCTTGGATATTGACTTGTTCTAGGCTCAATTTAAATCTTGAGGTGCTTAACTGACCATTATTTGACATGATAGGGTTTGTCAGCCTTCAGCAAAATCTTCAAGGGATGATATTTGAGAACTCGTCTAAAGATGCTAAAAATTGTACAGCAAATTTTCGGCTTAGTGGTTGTTTTTCACTAGTTATATCTAACTCTAGTGTTGAAAACACTTCAATTAAAAAATCACTCATCAGAAACTGAGTTGCTTAGTCTACTTTTTGCCTTTGTAGTTAGCAATTCTGCTAGAGGTAGGGATGTACTCTGATCATTTCTGCAGGGAAAAACTTGAATCCATGCCATAAGAATATCCCCCTGCACATTCACAGAATCTGCTCTACAGCATCACTACCGTAGTAAGGTCTAGTTTACTCTGGTGTACCTTAATTTAGAATTATCGTAAAGTCCATTCTCTCTACTTTGCGTTTCAATCTGCTACCCTAACTCATCTGTAACCATAATCCCTCCCTGCTGAATTGTGTTGCTTAGCATATAGTGGTTGGCTTGGACTTCCCTGGAGTTTTGTGTTAGTATAGTAATGTCCTCAGAAGTGTTGATAAAAGTGATTTGAAATGATAGAATGTTGTTAGAAGAGTCTTTAGAAGTTATCTGCTAGTCTTTTAATTTTCCAAACATATTTAGCTGTGAAAACCTTAATTTGTGTAAAAGCTTACTTGAAAACCCAACAGATAAACTTGGAGCTGGGGGTTTTGAAAATCACTGAGGAGACTGACCCTTGTATTTTGCAAATAAAGAGTCTTAAATCCAGAAAGGTTAAATCACAGTGGTCTGTGGCTGTTTCCACTTTGTCACACTTAAGCTCCTCTTCCCAGCCTCCAACTGGATTGTGGTTACACTTTGTCGTTAGCCTTTTGGGGAGTACAGTGATGAAACCTCCCGGGGCTGCCTTGGGGAATTGGCCAGACTGAGGAGACCATCTATTTTTTTTTTTATGATAGCTGTCTCATTTTTTTCTTCTGATTTTTCTTTCCTTCTCATGTTATTTCTTAGCTATTACATGAGGCAGATCATATTTATTAACATTACTGGCTAAATGAGTAGCTTTTTTTCCCTCTTGGAATTGAAGGGAAGGGGGAGAAGAGAACTGACATTTATGGGACACCAGCATATGTACCAGGCACTGCCAGATGTCGTCACGAAAGTTTGAACTCATTTAATTTATAACTACTCTATAAAGTAGTTGGTGACATTTTCCTTTTACAGTTAGGAAACTGAGTCACAGAGAGGCTAATAACTTGACCCATAGTCAAAACTACCCAGAGGTGTGGGGGGGAAAGGGCTTTCTAAGCAGTGTGCAAGTGTGTGGTGTATAGGGGATGAGGGGGACGTCTCGGGTGGTAGGATGCACAGTGTGTGGCATGTGATGAGTTACACTGGAGAGATGTGTGCACACGTTACTCTCTCCTCGGTCCATCCTCAGGGCCAGAAATGCTCTCCCACGGTGTGCATGCTGGCGTTTAATCCTTCCACGAAGACAGATATGTGAGGTTGTATTTTGGGTAATAGCACCTTTGCTTTTCTTCTTTTTTGTGGAGAAGGGGTTATACTTGTTTCAGTAAACCAACATCAGTTTGAATTCTTATAGTAGGTGGTAAACATCTGGACTTACTGATAGTTTTCAACATACGGGAGGAAATTTCGTGACAGGATATTTGAGCTGGCGGAGTGCGGAGTGGGACTTGCAACATTCCCACCACAACAGTTTTGTGGTGGGCCTTGAAGTTGCTGTAATTATTGTATCTGATGTTGTTATAAAACAAAGTGATAGCCAAATTTAGAAATAAATGGAATCTATAAACTAGTAATTGTATCAAGGTGTTATAGAAAGTCTAAAAGTAATTCCTAAATTAAAAAAATAAAGACTATGTCATATCTATATACAAGTGCTGGATGGCTGGAGGATGTGAGAGAAAATGCCTTGCTGGACACAACTTGACCGTCAACCCACCAGGTTCCTTTAATCAGGACTTGCTTTCAGGCTTGAGCTTTCAGAAAGCTGAGGACGTGTGGTCTAGTGAAGGCCTGGGTTTCCCTGGTCCAGGACTGGAGCTCAGCCAGGAAGCAGCAGCTCTGGGCTTCGGGGCACTGAGGTGGTGGTAACCACGTTCCGCTGTGCTTGAGGAGGCATAGTGTGTGTGTTGTCTTGTATGCACCCCTGCAGAGTGCTGGTCAGGTGTTTTGTGAGTAACTGCAGATCAGTTACATTCATTTGTTACATCAGTATGTTTTCTTGGGAATTTTCAAGTAAACATATCCAGAGTTATCATGTTTTCAGAATTGCTTTCATTTCCCTTTCAAACTGCGTTTCGAGTCCATTTAGTAGTATGCACCCGTGCGCAGGGAGTTGGTGTCCCCCCACTCCCTCAACTTTTTCTTCAGGGACCTCAGATGCACAGAATTGAGTTGATCATATTCCTGAGACCATGATACACGTGTGTTGTCTGTGCAAAGGCCGTTCTTTTGTTGGGTTTCATTTTATTTTTTTCCTTCTTATCCTGCATCCGCAATTCCAAGTCCCAGCCCTCTTCCAGCACCCACTCAAGTATGTTTAATGTACATTCTTCCTGCCCATTTGCCATGTGCTGTTTTATATATATGTGGTAGTGTTTTCTTTTAATCTCATTTTTTCTTTTTTTTATTTAACATTATGTTTTTGAGAAATATTCATGTTTTTGTGTGTAAATCTAGTTCGTTTATTCTGACTCTATTACATAGTATGCTGTCATATTTTATAGCCCAGCTAGATTGCTGTCAGCTGTGCAAATCATCACTGATGCTTCAGTGAACATTCTTGTCACCTTTAGCTCTTTGTGAGAATTTTTCAGGTATCTACCTCTAAGAATTGTTAGGTCACTGACTAGATGTGTATTTCACAAAATTTCAGCTCTCTGAGATGGCTCCTATGAGATTACACTCCTATTAGAGTACATGATACAACAGTGGCTTTAATTCATTACTTAGAAAAGAGGAATAAGTTATAAATGTAATTCCTTGATCCAGGCTTTGGTTCTGTGAGCAAGTTCCTGCAAACTAGTTTTTAGTCATATTATTAAAAACCTTTATTCTTCACTCTCATCCTTTATTTTCTTTCAGTAATGTTAGGTAATTATAGGGAAATTATAGACCTGTAAGTTATAGCTAGTTTTTTAAAGGATGTCTCTGTAATGCCTATATAATAGTGACAATGTTATGAAAATACTATAAATTCTAAGATTTCTGTATTTCATTTTATAGGGCGCCAATGCCTCGGCATTAGAGAAAGAGATTGGTCCAGAACAGTTTCCAGTCAATGAGCACTATTTTGGATTAGTCAATGTAAGTATCCATTGATACTTAGCTTTCAGAATCATGTTTGGAAGTAGTTTTAAAAATGATGAATGCATTTCATAGTTTATTAAAGGAAAATTGTCCATTTGTATCAGTAGACTTAATGCCAAGAAACTTGATTTGGAATTTTAAAATTGTCTGTAATGGAAGGGAAACAAAGTTGCCTGAACAACTTAGAACAGTTTCTAACTTGTCAACCTGATTTTTCCTATTTTTCTGTCAAAATTTTCTCATAACCAAAATGTCATAGGGCCTAAGCCAAATGATCTCTTGATTCTTTGAGAATTATTTAAATGTCTAAATGTAAGTGGTTCAAATGTACAGATAAAAATATAGTTTTGCAAATGCCTCCATGCGATTGTAGAGTCTTTGTCAGTTTACTCCTGGCATTGTCCCAGTAGTATAGATATAACAGTGCAAAATATAGGGAACAAATACATCCTAGTTCTTGTGGAGGTAATTCTAGTAATTATAAATTATTAAAACTTTGGAAGAAGTTTTTTTTCTGAATTATCAGAAAACACCATGAATCTGTGTTATTTAATTGTCGTAGTAGTTTATGCTATTGTACTGTACTGTTAGGTGCATCCATGGTGAGTGTTTTAAAATATATGTGTTGGTGATAATACAGGTAACAAAGTAAGTTATATTGAATGAATTGGTGTGTCACTACATACGAGTATGGAATTATGATGTATGGGATGGATGTCTTGTGTGATTTGAGGAAAGCAGTTAGAGTGATGTGTCTGTTTCCTCTGGCTTTGGGAATCTCTGTCAGTCTCTCTAAGTGTAAAGCTTGTAACAAAGAATCAGCAGTCTCCACCCTCTTCTGCCCTTCCCCAGAGGAAGCTGCTCATTAAACCAATGGCTGTTTTTTCTGGAATTTACCCTTACGTTCTAAATAAAGTGCTTATACTGCTATTTAAAAAAACATCTATTGACTTCCTGTTATGGTAGATAAGAAATTTAGTTCTCTTCTTCTACCACTGTCTCTACCCAACTTCACTTTCCCCATTCTCCCAATATGGACTCAGTCATTGCTTTATTTTTCTGTGTTCTTAATTTTCATTTATTCTTGCTAAAGTCTTCAACAGAACTAAAAAAACCAAAAAAGACCTCCTCAGTATCAGTTTCCACTGAGTCATACCAATCAAGTAAAGTCTCCTTTTTTTTTTCTTTTGTGAGGAAGATCGGCCCTGAGCTAACATCTGCCAGTCCTCCTCTTTTTTTGCTGAGGAAGACTGGCCCTGGGCCAACACCCATGCCCATCTTCCTCCACTGTAGATGGGACGCTGCCACAGCATGGCTTGAGAAGCAGTGCGTTGGTGCGCGCCCGGGATCTGAACCGGCGAACCCCACGCTGCCGCAGCGGAGCGTGTGCACTCAATCGCTTGCGCCACCGGGCTGGCCCAAGTAAAGTCTCCTTTTCCCCATGACATGCCTCTGCAACCCTGTGCAGCCTTTGTCCTGCCGTTCTTTTTTCCATCACCCTGGGCATTCCCTTCACTTCTTTTCATTTATAGATCCTGTCTTCTTTCTGGTTTTCTCCCTTGCTTTGTGGAACACAGTCTATAGTAGCTTCTTTAGGAAGTGTGCATGGGAGATAAACTTTGAGATCTTGTATATTTAAAAATGTTTTGGTTATTGTTACAGCTAGATATAGATCCTAGGTTATAACCTTCCTTCAGAATTTTTAAGGGATTACTCTATTGCTTTCTGGTTCTGTTGATGTTGAGAGGGCTGGTGCCATTCTCATTCTTAATTTCTTCTGTATGTGGCCTTTTTCCCCTTTCAAAAAAATTTTGGGAGTCTTTTAGGATGCTCTTATCCACAGCGTTCTGAAATTTCGTGATGTGTTTTGATCTCCCTTGTTAATGCATTGGGTATTTATGGACCCTTTCAGACTGATGGTTCATTTTCCTCAGTTCAAGAACATTCTGACACTATTATTTGGATAATTTTCTTCCTATCAATGTAATTTCTCTGTTATGTCTTTTTTGATATACTGTTGCATATTGAAACACTTTGATTCTTTATTTTTATTATTTTTTCCTCCCATTTTTGATCATCTGCCTTTCTATTCTACACTTTAGACTATTTCTTTGACTTTTTTGTCCAGCTCGTTGCATTTTTAATTTCTTAGAATGTTACTTTTATTTTTTGATCTTATTTCGTGGAGGCAATATTTTCTGTTATTTTTCTCAGGATATTATTTATAGTTGTTGCTGAGGTTTTCTTATGATTACTGAATTGTTTCTGAGTCTGTCCTGTGTGCCCGGCTCCCCCGCCCCGTTTTCAGCTCTGTCTTTCCTATTGGAAGCTTTCCTTGAATTTCATTCATACATAAACGTGAAATTCTAAAAAGCTGATTGGAGCTTTGTGTGTTATGGGAGGAGCTTGTCTACCATGGGTTTCAGTCTAGGGTGACCCCTGGCAAACAAGCTTTGAAAAAAAGAGCTCCCTGCCCCCTCCCTCCTACCCTCGATGTCAGTATCTGCAGCCTTTTCTCTGGGGCTGTTTATTTTCTTCTGGGAGGACTCTTCAGTCTCTGTCTAGGGGGTCTTAATTCAGGGTGTGTTTAATCCTGTTTCCTGTTCAGGCCTCCCTGCTGTCCTCTAGGGTTCCTACGCCCAGAGTTTCCTGTTCAACTTCTCTGCAGTCTAAACTGCAGTTGGAAAAAAGGTTAAGTGCCTGCGGGTCTAAATGGTCGGTTTAGAGACTTGTAACCAGACTTGTGTTTTTAGATGTCATCCTCCCACCCCACCCCACCCCACCCCCCTAAAAAGAAAAAAGATCCTGCTGCTTCAGGGTGAGTCAGTTTGTTTCTCATTTGTCCCTTACGGGTTCTTGGGATCCTGCTGTTTCTCCATCCTCCTGTCTGTTTGCTGACGTCTCTAGTCTGTGGTTTGTCTTCTATGACCTTTTGAGTTTTTGCCTACTTTATTCTTTTTTTTTTTTTTTTTGTCCCTATGTGTTTGTTTATTGTTGTTATTATCTACTACTTAATGAAGGAAATCATACGGTATTTGACCTTCTCCCTCTGACTTATTTCACTTTGCATTATACCCTCAATGTCCATCCATGTTGTCACAAATGGCTGGATTTCGTCGTTTCTTATGGCTGAGTAGTATTCCATTGTGTATATATACCACAGCTTCTTTATCCATTCGTCCCTTGATGGGCACTTAGGTTGCTTCCAAGTCTTGGCTATCGTGAATAAGGCTGCAATGAACACAGGGGTGCATGTACCTTTGCAAATTGGTGTTTTCAAGTTCTTTGGATAAACACCCAACAGTGGAATAGCTGGATCATATGGTAGTTCTATCGCTGATTTTTTGAGGAATCTCCATACTGTTTTCCATAGCGGCTGCACCAGTTTGCACTCCCACCAGCAGTGTATGAGAGTTCCCTTCTCTCCACATCCTCTCCAACACATGTTGTTTCCTGTCTTGTTAATTATAGCCATTCTGACGGGCATGAGGTGATATCTCATTGTAGTTTTGATTTGCATTTCCCTGATAGTTAGTGATTTTGAACATCTTTTCATGTGTCTGTTGGCCATCTGTATATCTTCTTTGGAGAAATGTCTGTTCAGGTCTTTTGCCCATTTTTTAATTGAGTTGTTAGTTTTTTTGTTGTTGAGATGCATGAGTTCTTTATATATTTTGGAGATTAAGCCCTTATCAGATGTATGGTTTGCAAATATCTTCTCCCAATTGTTAGGTTGTCTTTTCGTTTTGTTGATGGTTTCCTTTGCTGTGCAGAAGCTTTTTAGTTTGATGTAGTCCCATTTGTTTATTTTTTCTATTGTTTCTCTTGCCCGGTCAGATGTGGTGATTCTTTTGTGGTCATTTTATTGAGGTTTCATGGGGAGGAGAATTAAATGAATATATTTAATTTCCCTGTTTAACAAGAACTCTGGCCTCTACTTCTGTTATCTAAAATGTTCATGCTTACATACAGAGTTGTCCTGTGGTCGAGCCTCGTTTAGATTCTGGGGCTGGCACACCCGTTTCTTCACTTTCCTCACTACTTCCCCATGGCTCCACTCTTACTTGGTTCAGACTCCAAAGCTAATGTGTGTCTTGGATTGTAGTAAAGTTGTGTCCATTGATAGTGTCCCAGAAGAACCCACTTCTTTAGGACAGTATATATTTATACTTTATAACAATATATTTGTATATTGAAGGCTGTTTTACCTTTAACCTTCTCCCTTATAAATATTTCAATCTCCCTATTTTGTGTCTAAGTATAATTTTTTTTGCAGATAGCCTCAGAACAAGTAAAACAACATCCTAGGTAAAATCATATAAAATGAGTTCTAAAGTTCTATAATATTTTTTTCTGCTATGTTGTTTTAAATTTAATATGATATCAGTATCAAAATACCAGTGTCAATTGTGTAAAAACAAAAAAGTTTCTAAGAAGATATCATTTTTATTACTCCCTGCGGATCAATCTAAATTCAAAAGATAGTTTTTGTGCTTCTCCCTGAAGCTGAGTAACCCAGAGTCAATAAAATGAAGAGACGCAGGAGGGAGTAAAGTGGGTTCGAGACCGTCGGAGGAAGCTCTGTCTTCATCCCCTCCAGAGGTTCATTTGAGGACTAGAAATATAGTTTCTGATCTCTGTGCCTAGTTCTTATGATGAAGAATTGAGATCTCTAAGGAGGCCAGGGCTCCAGCTATGAAAGGTTGGTGAACACCTTGCATTATACTCAGAGAGAAATTAGTGGTCAGAGTCGATGCAGCAGAACTAGTATAGTGATTAACTTTTTCTGTGGTTTATGCTTTCAGGCTACTTTGTACTTGTGTTCTGTACTTTAATCTTTTTCTATAAGTCTTATTTTTCAGCCCCTAAATTATCATTACTCTTCTCTTTTTGTTTCTTTCCCTCTCTTTTTATTTGCAGACGTATCACATTATTTGTAGGAGTCCCTTAAAAATTAAGGTTGGGGGCCGGCCCTGTGGCTTAATGGTTAAGTGTGC